AGTTTTCGTTTGGCATTCGTTGAAAAATGGAAAATCAAAAGGAACATTTTCGTCATATTTTGCTTTTTTATTTCCGCAAAGGGAAAAACGCATCGCAAGCTCATAAAAAGTTATGTGCTATTTATGGTGACGAAGCCTTAAAAGAACGGCAGTGTCAAAATTGGTTTGCCAAATTTCGTTCTGGTGATTTTTCACTCAAAGATGAAAAACGCTCTGGTCGTCCAGTTGAAGTTGATGACGCCCTAATCAAAGCAATAATCAATTCGGACTGTCACAGTACAACACGTGAGATTGCAGAGAAGCTTCATGTATCACATACATGCATTGAAAATCACTTAAAACAACTTGGCTATGTTCAAAAACTCGATACATGGGTTCCTCACGAACTGAAAGAATCACAGTTAACGCAACGCATTAGCAGCTGCGATTTGCTAAAGAAATGTAATGAAAATGATCCATTTTTAAAACGACTGATAACTGGCAATGAAAAATGGGTTGTTTACAACAATATCAAGCGGAAAAGATCGTGGAGCAGGCCAGGTGAACCAACTCAAACAACATCAAAAGCTGATATTCATCAAAAGAAGGTTTTGTTATCAGTTTGGTGGGATTACAAAGGAATTGTCTACTTTGAACTCTTACCACCCAACCAAACGATCAATTCTGATCTCTACATTGAACAACTAACGAAATTAAACAATGCAGTTGAAGAAAAGCGGCCCGAATTGACAAATCGAAAAGGTGTTATATTCCATCATGACAATGCAAGGCCACACACATCTTTGGTCACTCGGCAAAAATTAATGGAGCTTGGTTGGGATGTTTTGCCACATCCACCTTTTAGTCCTGACCTTGCACCATCTGATTACTTTTTGTTTCGATCTTTACAAAACTCCTTGAATGGTAAAAATTTCAATAATGATGATGATGTCAAATCGTACCTGATTCAGTTTTTTGCTAATAAAAACCAGAAGTTTTTTGAATGTGGGATTATGATGCTGCCTGAAAGATGGCAAAAGGTCATTGATCAAAATGGGCAATACATTACAGAATAAAGTTATTTAGTTCCATGAAAAAATTGTCTTTGATTTTCTTTAAAAAATCCGCAATTACGTAGTTGCCGACCCAGTGGCCTAGTGCATGAAATTCATGCATGGGAAGGGGGCTGCTCCTTAGCCCGGCCTGTACCCTCTCCAATCTGGGACCTCTCAGAGGATGTCCTACTGCAGGTTTATAGGGATTGGGCCTAAACCGGCAGTCAGACATCCCTCTTGCTATCCGTGACTACTGTCCATAACTCCCCTTTCCTGCTGGCCATCCTGTGGCAGCCATCCTGTATACTCATGGGAGCGGCCATTATTGACCATATGGGGGCAGCCATCTTGTGTGTTGGAGTGATGGTCAATTTGCATATTACCTTTTTATTAGATGGGATTCTTTACCAGGGACAGAAAAAAAAAAATATATTAGCACTTTTTTTTCTTAGAAAAGTATGCAAGTAATTAAGTTCTCTCTGTTTTGTTTGCTATCCCACCACCAGAGTACTTTCTTATTAGATTTACATTTGGAATCTAAATTGAAATAAGGAAGAAGAGTATAAGTTAAAGAGAGAAGTATCTTGATAACAACCACTCATATATTGTTTTTAAATCATGACTGTTATGAAATTAACATTTTTCTTCCTGTCAGTAGATAAATATCCTAGGAACTCCACCAGAAGTTTCTTAAGAAGATAAAAATTGAATTTCTCCAAATAGAAGAAAAACACTCTGTTACATAGTGGAAAAAATCATCAGGTAAACTTCCTTAAATTCATTCCTTCTACTTTTAATACATTTGCATGAATTACTAGTAAAGAGAAAACAGCTTATTTAAAAATTCTATAATTTGTAATAAAATTATAAATTTGTGCTGTTTTGGGTCTTGTTGATTTTACAAATTGCCATATTTTTCTTGCCTTCTTAAAAATTATATATATTTGTTGATTTCAGAGAAGAAGGGAGAGGGAGAGAGAGATAGAAACATCAATGATGAGAGAGAATCATTGATTGACTCCCTTTTGCACACCCTCTACTGGGAATTGAACCCACTGCCTGGCCATATACCTTAGGCCAGAATCAAACCAGGGACTCTTCATTCCGCAGGCCGATGCTCTATCAACTGAGCCAAACTGGATAGGGCTCTCTTGCCTTTCTTACTTTACAAAATCAGTTTCTTCTTTTTGGAATAGAAAAATCTCACTAATCCTCAATCATTTTTTCTTTCCTCTTAAGAGGTCCTACTTGTTTCTAGCTTAACCTACTTTAAAAAAAATGCTTTTATTCATTTCAGATAGGAATAGAGAGGAAGAGATTGAAATATCAATGATGAGAGAGAATCATCCACTAGCTATTTCCTGTACACCCCCTACCGGGGAAGGAGGCTGCAACCCAAGCATGTGCCTTTGACTGGGATCGAACCCTAGATCCTTCAGTCCGCAGGGTGATACCCTATACACTGAGCCAAATGGGCTAGTGTTTAACCTACTTTTTGAAGTCCTTTCTTTCCTCTACTTTTCTTTTTTCCAGCTATTACAGCCCTATTTTAATAATGTTAATATTTATTGCAATTCTAGTTGTTTTCATTCTCCACCCCCACTTCCCTGCTAGACATATATACTCCATTGGGGCAGAAAACTCACTATTTATTGTTGACCTCTTAAATCCAGAATAGTTTGAATAAAAAATGACACGTAATCAATGTTTTTTCAAGAAATGCATTTTTAAAAAGCATGTTATTCCTGTGATCATCTTAGCCTAGAAATAAAACTTCTTCACCTTGCCTCAAAATTTAGTACACAAAAGTTGAATTCTTCTATTTGTTATTGTACTCTTTTCCCAACTGTCAAATTTATACATATATAAACGGGGAAAGAAAAAAATGGATGCCACTAATGTGTGGGCTTAGAGTAGAAGGGAAGATGTATGAAAAGAAATATAGCCAAAACCAGTTTGGCTCAGTGGTTAGAGCGTTGGCCTGTGAACTGAAAGGTCCTGGGTTCGATTCCAGTCAAGGGCACATACATTGGTTGTGGGCACATCCCCTATTGGCAGCTGATCAATGATTCTCTTTCATTGATGTTTCTAACTATCTCTCTCTTCTTCTCTGTAAAAAATCAATAAAATATATTTAAAAAAAGAAATATAAAAAAATTATCACTTTTCATATTATATTTACCTCTTTATCTCATAGCAAGGATTAATTTTATCAAAATACCCCTTCCAAATTTTAAAATTTCTTTTTTCCTAATTACAAAATACTACATAAAGAAACCTTATAAGTTTCTATTTATTCCTCTTTAAACAACTTGAAGCTGATTGCTTTTTCCCCTCTATACCCTGAAATCTTACTATTGTCTATTGGCATAAATTAAAAAGGAAAAAAAAGAGAGAGAGGGGTTTCATATTAAGAAATACATTGGAAGGGTGAAGCTGCAGTAACCATATTTCTCCTTGAAATTTGAGACTCAGAAACATGGGGTGGATGCTCATATACATCTCTGTCAACAAATTCATTGAGGTAACCATTCTCTTTTCATGAGTGAATCAACATATCCCCCTTGGTTTTTATAGAAGAAATGCAAGGAAATAAAGATTCAGGTATTAATGGAAAAAGCAAAACTGATTCAACTAAGTCAATTTATAGGAATGTTTACTCCTCTTTTAAAAACTTTGTTTTCTTTTTTGTTGTTTTTAAAATTCTCACTAGAGGATATTTTTCCATTGATCTTTTAGTGAGAGTGGGAGAGAGAGAGGGAAAGACAGAGAGAAACATTGATGTGAAAGAAACACATTGATTAGTTGCCTCCTGCATGCACCCTGACCAGGGCCTTGGTTGCCTCCTACACATGCCTTGACTGGAATCAAACCCAGGACTGGTTTGAGCTAAAAACTTCCTTCATAAAGTGAGATTATTTTTGTAGGTCCTAGGAGAAGGTAGATTTTATGTACATAAAAAAAGAGTATGAAGAGCTTGGCTTCTGTTAAGTTTTTAACTACCTGTCCAATATAATAAAGAAGTAATATGCAAATTGACCCTTGCATCTTCTCATCACATGATGGCTGCCCACCACATCATCACAAGATGGCTGCCACAAGATGGCCACCCTCATGTTATTATAAGATGGCTGGCAGGGAAGGGCAGTTGGGGGCAACCAGGTCTGCAGGGGAGGGCAGTTAGGGGTCATTGGGCTGGCAGGAGAGAGCAATTGGGGGCTATCGGGCCAGCAAAGAAGCAGTTAGTTGTCAATCAGGCTGGCTGGGGAGCAGTTAAGTGACAGCAGTCCCGAATTGTGAGAGGGATGTCAAGTGGCATCATTCCTCAACTGGCAGTCAGAAATCCCTCAAGGGGCCCCAGATTAGAGAGGGTGCAAGCTGGGATGAGGGACACCTCCTACAGTGCACAAATTTCTTTCACCTGGCCTCTAGTATATATATAAAAGCATAAGCTACCAATGAACCACTTGACTGGTAGCTATGACACACACTAACCACCAAGTGGCAGATGCTCAATGCAAGAGCTGTCCCCTCATGGTCAGTGCATTCCCACAGCAGGAGCATCTCTCAGCTGACTGACTGATGGGTGCCAGACACAGGGATCATAGCTGGTGAGCGCAGCTCTCCTGCCTCTGCAGCAGCGGTGGTAGCAGGCACAGTAGGCCAGATTGAGTGGGAACACCATGGTGTTGGGCCTGGTCTCAGGTTTTTCCCCAGCAGCCTGCTGGTTCTCACACTACTGCATCCCCAGAGGGGTCTCAGATTGCAAGAGGGTGCAGACCAGGCTGAGGGACCCCGCCAGTGCACAAATCCATGCACTGGGCCTCTGGTTGGCTTAATAAGTCTTTTTGTCTAAATAGTAGCTCCAAATTGTTTTTAATGGCATATGCTCAAAACTACCGTAGGAAAATATTTTTTTAAAGTTATTATTGGATGGAGGAAGTATGAGATGGAGTTGGCCTTAGAAAAATGAGAGCAACATTTCTTTTTAAAGAATGCACACTTGTCAAAAGTCAGTATTTCTCCACAAGACAGAGCTGACCAAGAAGGAGCAGAAAACAACATGAATGATGTGAAGCTTGCTGTCCTGGGTAGTGAAGGAACGGGCAAATCTGGTGAGTGGCAGTCTTTCCTCAGGCATGGTGTAGAGTGCAGATAGAGTGAGAAATATATTGATGCATATATAAAACTTGATATAACGATATAACTACATATTGAGTCTTATTAGCAGTTTTCATTTTATAAGCAAGTTAGGCAATTCACTGTATATTGAAATAATTTATAGACAGCTTAAGAAAGATAACTGTTGAAAGTATTAGTTTGTATCTTGTTTTGCTGATGTTTAAATTCATAGGAATATAAGAATAACAGGAAACCCTCCATCACTATCCCACTTACTTCTCACTCCAACACACCTGTTCTCACACCCACCAGTGGCCAAACGAAGGACATGAAAGGATTCTTCTGCCTTAGAGTAGGGGTGCAGTGACATTCCTGAAGACCTGTGGATCATTTTCTAAATGCCTCATTACAGGGGGATGGGGGAATCTCAAAGCAAACAAACTCTGGAGGGGCATGGCTTTGTAGATACCTAGGAACTAAGCAACATTTACCCCTACTTGGTAAGCCATCTTTTATTTTTATTTATTTATTTTTTTTGTAACATTATTGTAATGAGGTTGCCAGCCATAGAGCCCCCTGAGCCTAAGGAATCATAATTAGCCAGACCCAGGCACTGTAAAGAGCTAAACCAACACTCTGGGTCCTTTTTCCAGTTCCTGTATTTTGAAGTCTCGCTATCCTTAAGAAACTGCAATTGTTTGATATTGTCCTTGCCATTTTGAGCCTGTAGCACTTTAGAATTACATTTAATTTGATAAAGAAAACAAAGATATGTTATAATTCTTGCATCTCAGATAGAATGAGAAATTCTTTTCTGTTACGGAAGGTAGGTTGCTTTCTGTGTTTGCGTTTGTGAATTAATTACACAATGATCTGAGTGGATAACATTCTAAGATCACTTTCTTTCTACCGTCCTAATCTTTATTGTTGTTCATTGGAAATCTTGCTGACTTTTATTTAGACCAGAATTCAGTAAAGTTTTATGATCTTCCTAATGCTTGGTCATTTTTGAGCTGAAAGATAAACCTCTATGTACATAATTAAATTATCTGTATCCTAAAATAGAAAGGTCCATCAATCCAGGTTCTTTGTTTTTCAGCCCTTACAGTGAGGTTTCTCACCAAGAGATTCATTGGAGAATATGCTTCTAATTTTGGTAAGTATCTACTTTAGCATTTTTCACCCTAAAATGTCATATTATAATTAAACAATAATTCAGATCAGAAAATGATTTTAATGGAAACTTACATTTTTACACTTTAAAGCAACTTATTTTCCCCCTCACAGATTTTGGTTACAAATGCCAAAATAAGTGCTCGAACTGATAAAACTCATCTAATTTCATGTTAACTGAGATAGGTTAGATGTTAGAAGGTCACTTGGTTTCAGTTTAAAACTAGCAAAACTGAGATCCACCCCCTTAAAAAAAACATATTGTAGAGCAAGTATGAATGTTTTTGTATGCTATGAAACAGTTTTGAAATTAAATCAGCATCTGTTGAAAGATAAGGGCAAATTAATTATAAAAGCACAAGTAACTTCAAAATAAGCTTTATTTTTATTGCAAAACTGTGTGAAAATATCAGAAAAATTATGTCTTGATTAAAGATCACATCTAATTATCTAGGTTGCTTATGTAAGTTCCAGAGAAATTTTATAAAACAGATGCCAGGGTAACATGATATAATTTTATTATTTTGATCAGGACTAACATGACATATGGGAAATATCATGGAGAGGAACTAATAAAATGGGGAATGTTGCCAGAGGTTTGAGTATATTTTTGGCTCACCAATTAATCAACATAATTGTACTAATATCTCACCTGATTGAAGGTATGGGGGAAATGTGTTGGCTTTTAATTTAAAAAGAATGACAGATTTATAAGGAATGTGAAAATTGGGGAAAAGAAAATAATTATTATGTTCAATAATACTTATTTAGAGTAAAAGGAAATTATGATAACAAGTGTTTTCTATGAGAAATAAATATAAACAAAAATCTTTAGCATTCAGTTATGGGATATAGAAAATAACTTTAGAAAGTATTGATTGCATTGTGCTGTTTTCTACATATATCCAATATAGTATTTCTGTACATATGACACTGTGAGAATCTTAGGACAAGATTCTAGAAAGAAGAAATATATAGAAACAGACATTCTCATTGTTTTATTTCTCAGGTCAGCAATCTCAGTCAATAAGGTCAACATAACACATAAGCTAGCAGTCAGACATGAGAGAATGTTCCAGAACTACAAAGCCAAACATAAATAAAACAATGCCCCGAAACAATAGCAGCAATAATAAAAAAAAATACCACCTTAATCTTTTATAGGATATAGTTTATTAACAAGGTATACACATTTCTGGTTGTTATGTCCCTACTAAGAAGACGGGACCTAGAGACATTTTGAAAAGATCAGTGAATGTGCAAAAAGTGACCACTGTATGAAAAAAATGATTCCATCCTGTAAATAAAGATTAAAAAGGTTTCGAGTGTCCAGAGAAGCACATGTCATGCTCTGCCAAAGCATTTGTCACTTGGTATTCACAGAGTTTGCTGTGTTGGTGCCTTTCTTCCCCTGTCTGGCCCTGAGAGACAAAATCCCAGTGGATAGAATAGAGTGGATGCTGGCTTTACCCAATGGCATGCTGCTCTGAGGTGCTCCAGAACCACCTTCTGAGACACTGTTCAAGAAAACCCGACACCCAATCTTACTTACTGAGCGAGCTTGTTGCAGGGGTTGTAGTTTCTTAGTGATTCGTATCTGAGCGAGGAGCTTAGGGGGGACCCAAACCTTGCTGGAGGCTTAGCCACATAATTTCCTTTTAGGCCAACAGTACTTAGGTCTTCTGTGCCCTAAGACCTTGACTCTGCTCTTGGAACATTGAGGGGAAAGAGTGATTCTTACCCAGAAGTCCTGAGTCTCAATCCACTGAGAAACAAAAGTAAAATCACCCGGAATCCCATCACCCGGGGATAATCACATGCAAGGTGCAGTATCGGTGTATTTGCCTGTAGTATTTTCCTGTGCATGTTGAAATAGTTTCTGTCTTGTTTTCATTATCTCACAAGAAATGTCTGTTGCCCGTAAACGGCTGCATAATGTTTTACCTGTTTAGGTTCCATCACGTGCTTAAGCATTGCCTATTCCATGGGTATTTAGGCTCTTTCTATTTTAAAAAAGCATACATAATACTGTGATGGATATCTATCCTTATAAAATGTATTTATTTGAATGACTTATTAGGATCATTATCCATAGAAGTAGAATTATAAAACCAAATTATATAAACAATAGATATTTTAATATCTTGTTGTTTAAAAATGAAATTCCCAATCTTAACGATTTGGTAATGCACTTTCAAGTTTTTCTGGTGACATACAAACACACATATGTAATTAAAAACAGGATCACACAAACTTGTGCTTTTAAACTTCATCATGGAAAATTGTTTTCATATCTGTCTTAAGATAACACAACTCATTTCTACAACTGCATAAGTATTCATTAGGTATGCACAATAATGTATTTTACTCAGATGTGTACTCATAGATGGTGCAGTAATTCCTAATGTTTATGTTGACAATGTTGTCATAAATTTACTAGTACTCATACATTTTCAATTTTACACTGTTTCTTGAATTCCTATAAAATAAGTTCAAAGAGGAGAATTGTGTCAAAAGATTGAACATTTTAATTTGTGAGGATACCCTAAATTATTCTCTAAAGAGCTTTTTCCAATAAAATATTTCCCTAAAAAAAAAGACTAAAAAGGTTTTGGTTTATCCAAAGGAGAAATATTAAAATTCTAAAAAGATAGGAGTTGATGTCTCCTGATGGCTGTTGTTGAGTTTTGAGATGGACTTAAAAAAGATTGTCTAGAAGGAAATTTTATGGTTCACAGTAGTAAACTTAAGTGAAGTTTAGAAGGCATTGTCTGAAAACATATTTTAAGGTTTCATGAAACTATATTAATTTCATTAAATGTAACATAAGGATTTTAAAACTCATCCCTAACTTTCTGAGGTTGGCTTCCCAAATTTCTGCTACAACTCTGCTGTGAGTTAGAGAGTTTGCTAGAATAGGTCATGATTTTGTGTCAGTGTTCCATTTTGGAGAGAAGTGGGTATTTATTAAAACACTGAAAGAACAGTTACAGAAATAAAATCCATCATTCATTCAAGAAAAATTTATTGCACACCTACCATGTCCCAGGCACTTTTCGAAGTAGGGGGTTATAGCAACGAACAGCAACAAAAATGAAACAAATATCCAAACTCTCCTAAGACTTACATTCTGGAGGGAAGGGTTACTCAATTAAAAACATTAAATATAAATTATGATGTAAAACAAAGCATGAGAGAGTGGTCCTATATGTTATGTGGTAATTTATAATAGGGTGATCAGGTTATACCTAACTGAGGAGATATTCGTAAAGAGCATCATGGTGGTAAAAACTGAACCATGAAGATATTTGAGGGATTACATTCCAGCAGAAGAAACAATCATCAAAGTTCTGAGGCAGGAAAGTTCTGGAAAATGTGAGGGATAGAATTGTAGCATGTAGTAGCTAAAGTGGAAAGAATTTTAGAGGCAAGAGCCAGGGATTTATATTGATGTCATCAAAGTAATAGAAGACTAAATAATCAGCTGCATTCTCAGGCATTTTAAAGGTTTTGGTTTATCCAAGTGAGATGAGGAGCCATTGGAGCACTTAGATCAGAAAAGTAACTTGATGTGGTTACAAGGCTCACTCACATTTGCTTCTGTGTTGAGAATAGAGTAGGCACAAGAAAGGAATAATGTGAGGGATGAAGCAGAGGGATGAGTTAGAAGGGTTAATAATAATATAGGCAATCAATGATGGCTTGGGCCAGTGTATTAGCAATGGTGGTGATGAGAGGCTGATAAATTCAAAATATACTTTAACGGTAGAGTGAAAAGGGATTTTTAAAAAAGATATATTTTATTGATTTTTTACAGAGAGGAAGGGAGAGGGATAGATAGCTAGAAACATTGATGAGAGAGAAACATCGACCAGCTGCCTCCTGCACACCCCGCACTGGGGATGTGCCCGCAACCAATGTACATACCCTTGACCTGAATGGAACCTGGGACCTTTCAGTCCGCAGGCCGACGCTCTATCCACTGAGCCAAACCGGTTTTGGCAAAAAGGGATTTTTAATAGAATAAATATGAGATATAAGAGAAATAAAGAATCAAGGATGATGTTAAAGCTCTTAATCTGAGAAACTAGAGTTAAGGACATGCCATTTAATGGAGTGGAAAATTGTGAAAGATGCAGTCTTAGCAGGGAGATGTCCATTGTGTATGTAAGTGAAGATGTCCAATTGTAGTAGTTGTTCCTATCTGGCATTCAGGAAAGAGGTCTAGGCTATAGTTATAAATTAGATTCATTAGCAGCAATTGTTACACAAAGGCTGTATGGATGCGATTATCAAGGAAGTGAGGCTAGGTAGAGATGAGATCCATAAATTAGGTTCACGCTTGGAGTGTGGGAAGATAGGTATGGCAGGTCAAATAAAACAAAAAGAATAATATGGAGCAATAGGGAATAAAGCAAACAAAAGAGTGTGCTGCCTTGAAAGACATGTTAGGCAAACCTTTTAAGAAGGCAAAAGTAATTAGCTTACTTATGCTACTGATAAAACAATTAAAATTAAGGCACAGAAACTGACCATTGTGTCCAAAACCATGACCTTGCTAAGAACAGTTTGAGTTAAGTAATTGAAGTTAAAACTTGATTGGAATAATTTGAAGAGCATGGGAGGAGAGAGATTGAATGCAGGAGGTATAGGTGCTTACCAAAAGGTCAGCAGAGAAATGGGGCAGCAGTCGAAAGACTGTGAGATCTAAAAGATTGTCAAGTTAGGAAAAATACAGTTGTAATGATACATACAGGAAAGAGGAAAAAATTATGATGCCTAAGAGAGATGTAGAACTTGTGAGGCCATGTCTTTCACTAGGTCAGATGAAATGCTGACTTGTTCATAGTGAATGGATTGGCTTTAGATAGAAACACAGACAATTCATCCATAATAATAGGATGGAGCATATAAGCACAAAAGCATGCAGCTGAATAGGTGTGGTGAATTTCACTTGTGAGAAACATATATGAAAAAAATACATGTTTTTTGACCACTAGCAATAAATGAGAGCCACTGTAAAACTCCATTAAAATATGACAGCTTGAATTTGCAACACTGTAATCCAAATATATGTCCATTTTTTTATTTTTTTATTCTGGAGTATTTCCATACTGACAATGAACATATGCCTATTTTGCAGAATCCATCTACAATAAGCATTTGTGTTTGGAAGGGAAGCAACTGAATCTAGAAATATATGACCCGTGTTCTCAAGTAAGTAAACAACATACTCTTTTTTTTTTTTTCCAATCATTATTTGAAGAGGATTAGATAAGGGTCAGTGTAAAATTCCAATCTTAAAACTTAATTTTATTTTCTTATTTTAATTATTGAAAATTGAAGAGATTCTTTTTAGTGTTATAGATTTCATTATCTAACTTCTCTGTAAAATATGACTGAACTGTCATATTATAAATATCTTTAAAATACAAATATTAGGTTGGATTTATAATATATTAGAGGCCTGGTGCACAAATTCATGCACCAGTGGGGTCCCTTGGCCTGGCCTGTGGGATCAGGATGAAACAGGCTCTCCAACATCCCCTGGATTGTGAGAGGTCCTGGATTGTGAGAGGTCCTGGATTGTGAGAGGTCCTGGATTGTGAGAGGGCACAGGCCAGTCAGAAGGACTCTACTAGTGCACGATCAGAGCCAGGGAGGGACTAGGAAGGTCAGGCAACCAGGGAGGGACCAAGGAAGGCCTCTAGGGCATGTCTGGCCCATCTTGTTCAGTCCTGGTTAGCTGGACCCCAGCAGCAAGCTAACCTATCAGTCAACTGTCTGCCCCCTGGTGGTCAGAGTGGCCTTAGCATATCATTAGCATATTATACTTTGGTTGATTGAATGGATGACCAGGCACTTAGCATATTAGGCTTTTATTATATAGGATTTCTATCAGGTCACAAGTAGCTGTTAGAAGTTAATAATGGGCTATCATTCAAGTTTATATGTTCACTGTTTCTTTTGTGTCTAACCACTGTTGATCAAGCATGAAATAGATTTTGAATATAAATTTTTTTGTTTAATCAAATACCAAAAAAAGTGAAAATAGTATTATATAAATAATAACTGTTCAAGATTTCAAAACAACTCCATGGGATAGATTCTTTTACTTGATGAAAATCTACCTTAAGTCATTTGAGCTAAACTTTATCTTTTTTTTACTGATTTAAATATAGCACCAAAAATCAATAGATACTCTATTAATATAGATAGAAAATATTATATCTTTTCAAATAATATATGTGGATATTAATTCAAAAGACAACTAGAGTTTATCACTTTTTCAAAGAAAACTGAGATATTTTCTTAGAGAAAAGTTGTAAAATGAGATAGAAATGACTTTATGATAGTTTATGTTTTAAGCACTTTTAACCAAAGAGAATGATGAGGAAATAAGCTACATTTTAGAAAATATCAGTGTTTGGCTTATTGAATTCTCTTCTAAATGAAATGTGTCTTCATTAATTAATTCTAACGTGTAAATACAGGTGTCAGATTCCACCACTTTCAATGTGTCTGGTTTGTTTGCAGCCACAGAAAGCAAAATTTTCCCTCACCAGTGAGCTGCATTGGGCAGATGGATTTGTTGTTGTGTATGACATCAGTGACAGGTCTTCATTTGCTTTTGCAAAAGCACTGATTTACAGAATTCGGGAGCCACAAACTAGTCATTGTAAAAGGTAAGATATTTCTCATTCCTCTCTCCTTTCTTTTTAGTAAATCACCACAGAGCTGTAAGCATCATTAGAAAGAGTTTAATACAGCCTTCCAATTATGAAATTTAACAGCCCTGAACAATTCACATTCCATTCCACAGGAGTTATACATGTAGTAAAAGGACTAAGATGAGAATACTTCATATCCTGGCTGACATAAACAGTTACTTGCCCCGAGTAAATGGCTATTTTACAAGACAGCTTCTATTGTTAACATGACACTCACTTGCGAAATAATGGTCCTTTGTACACAAGATAGTTCGCTTTCCAACCTTTTCTTTCATTCCCACAAAAATGTTAAGGATACTAAATAAATCCAGATTTATTACATTTGTCATCCAATTTCTAGTCATTTGGTTGTTCAATGTATCAAAGCAAAATAGACAGCGTAATGAAACCTATACAAATTCTAAGTATGAGAATACAATTTTTCTTCATTTCACCTCCTAAAGTAAATAGCTAACCAACAATTGTCAATTAATTGTCTTGACAAAAATAACTATGAAGAAAGACATAACTGTGCCTTCTTGCATTAGTAGATATTAGTTTAAACATATAACTTACCTACTTTTTGTTTTTTTGTTTAATAGCCTTTCCCATTTAAAATGTTTCTTTTTATTGAAAATGCTGATGTAAGGGCTTCTGTGTGTTCTTAAACCAAATTTGCCCTTTGACTAAAATAACATTCAAAACTGAGAAGCAAAAAAAGCACAATATTAGTGATTTTTATAACTATTTTAAATGCCCACTATCAAGAAACCATCAGATAATAATTAATAAAAGATATTTCCCTGGAGTCAGTTGACCATATCTGATTGACCTTAAGTAAATCCTTTAATCTCTAAGACCTAATTTTTCTGATTATAGAACTGCTAGGAGCATGTTAGGAGAGAATTATGTGATGTTACAAGGGTATCCCACAGCTCTGATTTCCAATAATATTACTGTGTGGTTTCTTTAAACATCATTGTTTCAAGCATTAAATGTTTTATAAGGGACAGAGATAACAATCCTTTGATATTCCTCCAAATAAAAGTAAGAACTCAAGAATACAAAAGAAAAACACAAACAACTGTCTTTAACATTTCCAGACTATCTTCTTAATGTCCTGATTAAATAATTTGTATTTTCAATCTGTATAGACTAGAAAAGCAACATAATATTGTTTTATTAAAATTACTTCTCATATTTGTGATCTACCTTCAAAATATTTTACAATTTCCCATTAATTCTTTACAATAGTTTTCTGAACTATGTAGAAAAAGTTATTATTAATATCCTCAAAAATCCAACATATACAGTGCTTTTTTTCTTCATGGTTCACACTGTCATATGAATGAAAGAAACTCTTAGTGGGATATGAGGACAATATATTTTCAGAAAGAGTTGATTACTGCATTTACTCAATTATTTCCTGTAGTAGATATCTTGGCAGAGTTTCTCACCATTTATGAACTAGTAATCTTACCATGTTCTTTAAACAAAACTCTGTTTTAATAATGTTTTGTTGTAACAAATGAGGATACACTGATATTTGCCAAAGACATTACCTTAACAAGGAAACATATTTCTTAAATAAACAGAAAAATTGTACAAGGTCATGAGATCGTGAAATTTTTTCTTTATTATGCGATAAAGAATATTAACAAAGAATAAACAGCAATGAGTATGGAGTAATATTATATCTTATTATATATCTAAATTGTCCAATTGCAGTTACTATTTAATAAAAAGTTAATCTTCTGCCAAAACCGGTTTGGCTCAGTGGATAGAGCATCAGCCTGCGGACTGAAAGGTCCCGGGTTCAATTCTGGTCAAGGGCACGTACCTTGGTTGCAGGCACATTTCCAGTGGGGGGTGTGCAAGAGGCAGCTGATCGATGTTTCTGTCTCATCGACATTTCTCACTCTCTATCCCTCTCAATTCCCCTCTGTGTAAAATTAATAAAATATATTTTAAATAAATAAATAAATAAATAAAAAGTTAATCTTCTTTCAATTGATAAAAAAAAGAAAGACAATATTTATTAAGCATATTTTATTGCTTGACACTGTGCTAGGTATTTTTATAAGCATAATTTCAATGAGAATTCTGTGTGACCATGACTATTTCACCATTTTTCACATACAAGGAAAATGAAAATTGGAAAAATAGCAATTATGCCTCATTAGTAAACAGAACCATAATTCAAGAATAAGTTTGTGTCACTTCAAATCATATGTTTTAAGAGCCTTGTTTGCTTCTGTGCCACTTACTACATTCTACCTGAAATAATTGTAATGCATACATGGAGACATGACCATTAATAACACATACTATTTTTTTTTCTGTTTTGGTTCTTAATTCTTTTTTACATAAATCTACTCAATTAAAAATAATTTTTACAAACAATCTTGCCAAAGAATTGTGTATCTGTATTTCAGAGTTGTGGAATCAGCAGTGCTTTTGGTTGGTAACAAGCAAGATCTCTGTCATGTGCGAGAGGTTGGCTGGAAAGAAGGGCAAAAACTGGCACTGGATAACCGGTGCCAATTCTGTGAACTGTCGGCTGCAGAGCAGTCTCTGGAGGTAGAAATGATGTTTATCAGAATCATCAAGGACGTCCTGACAAACTTCAAACTCAAAGAAAAGAGAAGATCCAGTGGATCTAGATCAATGGCCAAACTGATCAATAATGTATTTGGAAAGAGAAGGAAATCTGTTTAGTAGACATGTGATTTCAAGGGTTTCTTATATCAGAGAGTTCAGTTCATATGCTAATTTAACCTTTGTTTGCAATTAAAAATACTTTAGACATATAAAGTGATTGAATATGAACCACAGCTGTGTTTTTCAATAGATAGCTTGCCTTTTTGGGTGTTTGTGTTTTGTACACTCTGTTTCACACTTAAACTTCCCTTTATTTCACAGAATTGCCCTCACTATAAATTATTGGTTGATTACTATACAGTTTGATTTGCAAATGAACATTGATTCTGTAACTTTATTAACTACCATTCTACATGCACTTTTACCTTTATTTTATGTATTTCTTTAGAATAAACATATAGTTATATTCATGTATTTCATATTTTGTAGGGCTTAACATATACTTGTGAAACTTCATGACCTATTTAATAGAAATACATGAATTTAATTTTTAAAATGTCTTCATTTTAATAATCTATTGAATGACTTGATAATGCACACATATTACTTATAACTCGGGCTTTAAGAAGTTAAATGTTTTGCCCATAAGTACATAGTTTGTAGTTGGTCTGATGTTAAAAAAAACCTCTGCTTTGCTTTGTATGCTAAACTAACAAGGGGGATTATAACAGAGAAATTAGTTTATACAGCTAAGATCCTTCTGGGACTAAAAAATTAGTCTTTTATAGTTCATTTAGGACTTATACATCATAAGAAAAGAAAAAAAAGTAAGAGCTAATTGGTAAATATATAACCTTTAAGGACTTATTGCCCTGAAAGAAATATTGCATTTGATACAAACATTTTAGGCCTTCCCAGATTACTTTGGATTTCCTTCAGAAGTCAACCATTTACCTCATGGACTTTATCACCGTTGCTGCTGCCTTTGCTAAGCTTGCCACCTTCTACAATTGTAAGACAGATTGTTGAAAATGAAGGTTAAGTATTAGAGAAGTTAAACTAGGAGTACAAACAATCTACTACATACTTGGTTACCGTGTCAGCATCAGTAACCTAGGGGAAAGGGTGGAATATCTGGAGTAGAGAGTGATAGGAGTGAGGGTAGGGTGGCTCATAATATTAGGCTGGGTAGGAAGGAAATCACTGACTTGGTGTTACTCACTATGAGTCACGATTCAACCCTTTAGAAGCAACACCTAGGGCTCATTTCTATAGCTTTGCTGTTCATTAGAAATCTAACCCTGATGCTATGCTGGAGTAAAAGTGGTACAGACAAAAGAACTTTGCGTGGTGATATACAAAACCATTCATAATGCTTGTGAAGGTGGAGGAGTTAGAATTGATATGGTAAGTTGGACCCAAGCACCTACCACCTGACTGGGTTCTCAGGTTGAGCTGATAATAGGGCGGCTGCCATTGAACTGCAGTCCTCAGTGTCAATGCTAATGATAGAATCCTGGAACAGCAGAGTTTGATGACAGCACTGAACCCTTGCCAATTATGCATTTGCTGTTATATCCAGGGTTGAGGCTCCATTTCTGATACTACTGACTGGTTGGACACTTAGGAGTGGCATTCTCAATGAGCTGTATTGAGGCAGAGTCCATATTGCGGACTCATGCATTGCTTCCATCCCGGCCACCAAGGCTGCTGTTACCCTGGGTCCATTACATAAGCACAACAGCGGTGAGGAAAAGAGACAGATTATTTGCAGGGTCATCCTGTCCATCTGGTGGTAATGTGACTTCTCATTGGTGGATGCTGTCTGGTGGGCATTAAGATGATACACAAAGATCTGTATATTTTATTCCATCTCTGATATATTCATCCACATGCTTTTCCTCCAGTTATTCTTGTAGCTATTTTCCAGTCTTTTCCCTTCATTGTACAAAGTAACACTCAGATATCTCTCACCAACTGGCAAAACTATGATCCCTACCTAGAAATCTGGTCCACATGACACCTTTCCCAGTATACAAGGTAGACAACAAAGTGTGCTCCTTGAAACTCTGACAAATGGGATCATTTGCTTTCACTAATGAACTTCATGGTTACCTTCATGTGGGATGCAATGAGGCACAGCTCTCCTTTGGCACTAATACATCAAGCTGAAGTGAGAAAAGTTTCTTATGAACTAAGGATGTTCAGATTAGATTGCTATGTAAATGAGAAATAAACCTCTAGTGTAAAGAGTTATTCTGGTGAATTCAGTGATATACTTTTTTTGGGTCAACTATAAGAATTTTATTAACATTGTATAATCTTTGTATGGACTACATATGTTATTTGCATATATACATGTATCCCAATTTAAGCACTTAACACTTTAAATTTTTGTTTTGTTTTATTTTATTCTTATTTTCTCCTGGATACTCTTAATTTTAGAGTCTTGGCCTTCATTCTTTAAAATTATTTTGCCATTTAAAGAATGGGGGATAGTGCTGCATTAATAACAAAACATTTACCCATACTATATGTAAGGACTCTACTGTCAATATGATATGGAAATTCTTTCAAAGCTTAGCTGTGTATACGTATCTGTGATGTGTCATAGTGCAAAATTTCTCTGTTAAAGTTATTACAAAACTTTATTATACCTTGATTTTTAGCAATACCACTTGCTTATATTATTATAAGTATTTTGTAAAACATACTAATAATAAGTGCTCTCACCAAAGCAAGAGAGGTGTGTTAATTAACTTGATTGTGGTAATCATTTCACAATGTATTCATATATCAAAACATTCTGTTGTACACTTTAAATGTATTCTAATTTTACTTGTCAATTGTACCTCATTATAGCTGGAAAATCACCATTGTTTTACAGTAAAAACAGAATTTACATTTTAAGATGTAGTTTCGTTGAGGCAACTTTAGAAATGAACTGCTGATTTTTCTGAGTGAAATTTAAAAGTAGTTGGGTAATTTCTGCTTTGGGACAGTTTCAAAACACGTTCAGACTTTATTTTTTTGACACTTTTCCCTTTAAAGATTGAGTCCAGTTCTCCTCCCTTGCTAATGGATTATCCTTATTGAGTCTATTTTAACCAATTGAATGAGGTAGAAATAATAGGTAGGACTTATGAGGCCCAGTTGGTAAAGGAGCTAGAGTCCCAATCCATTCCTCCATCAGCCTTCGGTTTGGGTTCCATGAGTCAACATATATGAATCTTGCTTCCCTGAAGGCACCAGGCTGGAGCTACGGTAAGGGGTTAGCGATCACACAACCACCTAACATATCAGCAAATATTCAGATAACTCCAGTCTCATACCTTGCACTATCACAGCAGATGCCATATGGGACAGGAGTGAGTTATCCCCACCCACTTTTACCTCATGTGAGTGTATTAAGTATCGTGTTGTTATGGGTTTGTTAAACCATCATGGTTTGGTGTTGTTACATGGCAACTTAGAACAGATAATTCATTAAAATGTTCAGTAACTCAAACGATATGAAATGCTTGGCTTTCTTACTGGGGGGAAAAAAGGGTGGAAAAAAAAAGATTCTTCTGAACAGATTCAAAATAATCTACAACATGAAGTTGTCCCAATACCAGTTTTCTGGTAAATATAATTCGCATGTAAAGCAACTTGCAAACCTAAAAATAATAAAGTGCAGTTTTCCAAAAACTGTAGTAACCACATCTACTCACTGAGAAACAAATACATCAACATTAGGCCACAGAAAGTTGCAGATTGAGGATCGCAAGTGTCTCTATAAATCTCCGAGATAGTTAAGCTGTATCACTAGGCTGGGAATTGCCTGTAATGCTTCTAGTAAAAAAGGTGCTGTCATTCATTTTGGATGAGCTTCAATGAGATAACACATAATGAGCGGCAACAGCTGAGGAAGGGAATGCCAAAGAGGAGGGGGCTTCTGAAACGGTTTTGATTTAATACAAGGCATGCACTATTAATAAAGAGGTTGAATGATACCTGTATGTTTTATAGGTTTATAAATTGGCTGTAGTAAAACATTTTACATCTTAGATCACTAGGTATTGTTTCAGCTTATTATGAGAGATATCTATCTAGAGTTGACTGAATTGTATTAATCTGAACCTAGTTTAATGATGCCTTAACGTTTTTATGGGGGAATTTAATGTTTGCAATATCCATGTTCCTTATTTGAAAGCGTGACTTATAGGTTTCTCATCTTCCTTAAATTATGAAATCCTTCGGCTAATAAAGGAAAATGATTATAGTTTGCAAAAAAGGCAAAGTCATTTAACAATCCATATAACTGTCCATTGTAGGACTTTGCATAATAATTGTAATTTAGCTATTAGGGATTCTAAAGGAAGTTATCAGTCATATTCTACAATTCTGGGGGAATCAGGCAAAGCCAAAATTATTTAATGTATTTTAAATTCTCAAAGAAAAAAATAGAAATACTGTAAATTGAAAATATACTATTCAGTGACAACATATTATCTTCCAAGCAAAGAAGCTCATCATAAATTCCAAATGTATAAACCACCAAACAGATGATTTTTCTTTTCTTTGGATAGAGATATAATTCAAGTTTATTTTTAATAATGGAAATATAAGTTCTTCTAAGGAGGGAATTAGCAGACTATGAAGTATCAGTTGCAATGTGGTATCTGCAGATTTTAGTAATCTTGGAACAACTAAGGCATAAGGAGTTAAGGAAAGAAAAAAAAAGAGCAAAATGAAGAAGATTAAGACATGAAATTGGGATTTGCCATAATATGAAAGTATGACCATGTTATTTCTGTATTTTTGGGTCATTTTAAAGGACTAAAGAGAGATATTTAACAGCTAGACACAGGAAAACATTTCAAAACACACATTAAATTAGATTAATATTGTTACCAGATATAAAGTTACTTTCCTGGTAATAAATTATTTTGGTTTTCAAAATTTGGTAGTATTTCTACATACAAACACATCTGGGGTTAAAATTCTGGGATTGGGCTGGAGGTAAAGTGTTTAATTTATTCAAACAACACTTATAAAAAATAACTATTGACTTTATCAGATTTTCATCCTATAACAAAAGAACTCTCTATATTACTCAATTTGTTATTCTCCACAACAGAAGAGGTTTTGAGAAAAATTTGTTCAAAACTAGTTTCATCACTCTAAATTACTATATTTAATAACATCCTTTTGAAACTAAACATATTTGTTTGTAGACTAAGACTTACACACATATATGCGTTTGTGTATATATGTATATAGATACACTACTAGTTATATATATTACCAGTAAGTGATATCTATTAAAGAACTTTAAGATTGTACACATATTGGCATATATATTTTTAATCATGGGGGTTAATTGAGATATCAATAGTTTCAAGGACTGAATCTGCCATTTTACATTTTTTATTAAAATTATATATTTTTTAATTTGAATAAAAATTCATAATAGCATTGAAACTTCTGAAGCTTCATATGACAGAAGTCTTGTAACAATAATTCAGTGTTCATAACTAAAATAAGACTTGAAATGATAGATAAAATCATACGTTAGGTTTGTGCTATGTTCTGGCCTAAAAATGCATAGTTTGCCAGGTGACATCTAGCTACAGTATATAGGGTTGGGAAAAAGTAGGTTACAGATATAAGTACATAAAACACAGCTTATTCTTGCATTATTATGTATTAATTATTGTATTATTTTTCATACAAACAAATGTAAACTTTGCCCCACCCTGTATTACCCTTTGCTTGAGTCCTCGCTTGTACACAAGCTTTACACAACTAGAAAACTGGCCAGCTCCCTCACGCCATGAGAGTTTCCGAAATAGCCACAGCCCTTATCTCCTATCACAAAGGACCCACTATCAACATCTTCTATCTTTCTTCAAACACTCACAGCAAGATAAATAAAAAAAGTCATAGTGACAAACAGTTCCTTAGACTGCCTAGTACTCATGGGCAGATGAGGCAGAGAATTAGTTGTTGAAAATGTTGGGCTGGGGTCTCAAGGGTGACTTAAAATCATACCTGTGTTGCGTTTGTTATAAAAACCACATAAAACAATTAATGTTATGCTATTCATCTAATACATCTTTTTCTTTTCTTTTGCTTTTTTTTAATTTCTTTATTTATTAAAGTATTACATATATGTTCTTATCCCTCCAATACCCCCTACCCCCCTCACTCATGCCCTCACCCCCCTGTTGTCTATGTCCATTGATTAGGCTTATATGCATGCATAGAAGTCCTTTGTCTGATCTCTCCATCTTATCTCACCTTCCCCTACCTTCCCTTTAAGGTTTGATGGTCTGATTGATGCTTCTCTGTCTCTGGATCTGTTTTTGTTCATCAGTTTATGTACATGCTAGAGGCCCAGTGCATGAAATTCATGGGCAGGGTGTGTGTCCCTCAGCCCAGCCTGAACCCTCTCCAATC